TGGTGGACTAAAATCTTATCTGGTAAGTAAATAATAGTGTTAATTTTACCGGTAAACACTTACTCATGTAATATTAACTTAAGATGATTTGTGTTGTTGTAGGATGATGTACTTGACTCATTCCTTTGGTACTTGATAGTGCTTAAACATTGAGGAAACATGTCATTGGTTGACTCATATGGACTTATATTAAGTGGTTTTGTAAGTTGCAGATTTTGGTTAATTGAACCTTGTTCATTGAGTTTTGAGAAATTTATGCGACCCTGATTGTTGAACAACTTTGAAACATTAAAGTGCATATGTTGCATACTTTATTGGGATCTTGCCCAACATTTGATTGTTCATTGTCATTTTATGCATATGTTCGCGTAATTACTTGGAAATACATGTCATTTGGACTTATTTGGTCTTTTAAATTTAAATCATGAAAATGGATAAGACAACAAATAGTCAAAACGAACACCAAATATTACAAAAAGAATCTGAATTTAGACAATGAATACACTTTAACACGAAACCTAAATTTTTAAGATTTCATGGAAGCTAAATTAAGTATAACAACACACCAACTTAAATAATATCGAAATGCCCACAAACAAAAGAAACAAATTAAAGAGGTCGAACCAAACAACTCGATTTTAAATTGCATAATTCTGTCATGCAGAGACCCAATGTGTAAACCTTTTATGGTTTGATACATGTAAGTTATGTGTTATTTGTTATGTGGAATTGCATGCTGTTACAATCAGTATTCATCCCTGACCCTGCCCCTGCCCCAACCTTGCATCGACTATGAAAATAACCCTCGTTCTCGACTCCACGGGTAAAATTTTCATCTCTAGCTATGATATGTACACGTATTATTAACTATGCTAATGATACACACATCATAAAGATTCTCAGGCTCATGTATCCTAAAAATACAAAAAGAATAAATAAAAACAAATTTTATTGAGTAAATGGTTAATAAAGTGGACTTGTCCTACACCAGATAAGTAGGACATAACCCTCTTAGCTTCACTATGAACATCAATTGCACACTATTCCTCTACGACAAGCTCAATAGTATTATTATGTGGAACCATCATTTTCTTCCATGATTTGCAGTAACTCTTTGGCTTTCCATGTTTGTCTTGCTTCTCCAAAACCCCCCAATATGAGTTTCAATAGTCTTCAAATGAGGTGAAATACCCATTTTGCACATCTTATTAGAAACCTCCATGGCATAATCTATTTTTCATGCACTGCACCATCCACTAATGATGGTAGTATATATGACAGCATTTGGACTTACATTTGATGCCCTCCTAACTTGCAAAATTGCTTTGCCTTTCTCATGCCACCAAAGATATCTTGACGTTGGTCCTAATTCCTCCATCAAATTCAGTGTTTGGCCAAATTCATACAAACCTAGTTAATTTGATTCTTAAGAACCCATTTTGGATTACTTAAATTCAAGCATGATCCTTGAAAGCTCAAAAGTAAGCATAGTTCTTTGCAACCGGTTTAGATCCCAGTTGCCAATCAAGTAGCGTTGCTTAAAGATTGTGTAAAATCTCAGCTAATCCTTTTGATATTTGAAATTAGAATGGTCCTATATGTGATAACAATACACATGATCTAGCTTTATACTTAAATGGATACCATTGAACAATAAACATATTCAAAATTTTAGGTTCTCATTGAACACTAACCATCCATAATATGATCCTAACAATGTGTATAATCTAGCATTAAATTGAATAAACACCATCTAATTGACCCTCATAACAAATCCGTGGTTAGAACTTCCAGGAGATACAAACACACACACATAATTTACATTTAGTGAACACCACAAAAATTGACAAACATATACTCAATGTATAATGAAATCTAAATTGGTTGAAGAAATATACAAACTTTGAAACAGGACCTGCCCACAAGTTTCACTAAGGTGTTGATATACAATCAATGTTCTCGTCTCTAGTAGGCCCACTTTTAGGTTTATCCACCACAAGCCAATGTTCAAAATCACAACCATTAAGAAAGATCGTCTCCTTAGGTGGACGATTAGACCAATTAGGATTCGATCCATTTAGAGAATATGTGATATAACATGTCAAGAAAGTATTTATTCTGGTAACAACAAGTGAGGAGTGGCAGATATTTGTTGGCGACAACGACAAGAGGGTGTATACGGAGGATGTGGTGGTGTAGAAGCGTAAGATTAGGGTTTGATTGTCGGTGGAAAGAAGAGACCAAACATCAAACGAATCCAAGCACAACAGATTAAACAAAGTGTAGAGGTTAGAACGATTAACAAGGCAAGGAGGTTTAAATCGAGAAACTTGTGGAGGGCTGAGGCGATTGAGAGAGAAAGTGAGGAATAAGAGGATGGTAAGACATGATTTCATCAATTGTTCAATCAGAGCACGTTAAGACCTTTTCCCCTCTTATCAAAAAACAAAAACAAACAATTTGAAACCTCCAACCTCTTAATTGGTAAGAGATATAGACCAATAAAAGTTTTTTTTTTCCTCAAAACAAATTACACCTGAGTATGAAATGCTCATGATGGGAGAACTGACTTTCTTCTTAAGTTTTTAAGGCAAATAATGATCTAATAATATTTTTATAAATCAAAGTAAGCGCATCAATTTTTTTTTGAAGAAATTCAATTTTGAAAAACTGCTCTCCAATGAGAACACTGATGGCACCACACCTCAAACTTCATGTTGATCCCGATGGTAAATCGGTGAATGTTACAATTTACAGGGGTATGATCGACTCCTTTCTCTATCTTACTGTGAGCTGACAAGATACCATGTTTTCCTACCTATCTATGTGCCCGTTACCAACCTAATCCAGATGAGTATCACTTAGATGCAATAAAACATATTTTCATGTACCTATCCACCCTTGATAACCTCTCATTCCTATCATGCAGCTACATTTTTTGACTTGATGCTGATCCCAACCACCTTGAGTTCCATGATGTTGCCTAATTCCTTAGAAAATCTCATTTCTACCATGATCTTACTCATTTCCTATAGATAATCACTTTTCTACTAGGAAAATTTTGGCTGACGTGTGCTATTGATGATATTACTATGGAAGTTCATGCCTTTGTTCTTTCTTTTGATGATGTGGCATTTGATGGTTCTAATATTCGATGTGTTTTCCAGCTTCCTTCCTACTCTAGCTATGTTGATTTTCCCACCATTTCTGAGCATGCTGAAATAGTCGATGCTTTGAACTATACTCAAGACCCCCCAAGCCAAAAGCTAGGATGACTTTCTTAAAAAACACATGGGATGCATATGGAATTTCTTCTTCACCCACACCATCCATTGCCTCACCCAAAAAACTAGTGGTCACGATCAATCCCCTATCTATGTTGTTGAGTTAACGTAGGTCATAATCTTCCCTTGCAAAACTGATTTTGCTAGTTACTTATTTTAAGAGATTGTGAAGATTCTCAACCATCTTAGGCCTTTTCAAGTCCCATTCCATTTGTTACTCTCCTTGTCGATCTACAAAAAAAACCATCTACCAACTACCAACCTATAGATTCGTTAAGTTTGACCTGGTTGTCTCCAAACTGGGAGATGAAGCTCTCAAGAAGAAGCCTATTTTAATAGATCGGGCGCCACACTTAAGTTTGATTCTCTTTGCTCATTCTTCTGTTCTACATTGGGAGACGTCGAGCTCCTACGGGCTATTAGAGCTAGCTCTAAAGCCTATCGGGTTGTTGATGTTAAGCCAACTGTGGTGCCCCCTCTCCTTCCTCTTATAGAGGTAAATGGAGGCAAAAAAGAAGAGGAGCATGATCATATTGTTCCTACTCCACTGATACCTCCGCCATTGGTTTTTGAGGTTAAGATGTCATAAGAACCTTCAACACCTCACCCTCCTACCTTCCTCAAGAAGACTAGAAAGCCCAAAATGGCTAAAAATGCACAACCGTAGATTGTTTTTGAACTTGGCCCTTTGGAGCCCAGGGTAACCAATATTACACATAGATCCATAATGTCATCTCAAAAGGACACCATTGAATTTACTAGGACCCTCATTGAACCTTCATCGATATATCAACTTGTCGATGAAGATGATACAAATTTCTCCCCATTTCCAAGGGCCCTCTTCTCCACCTCACAACCTACCATCTAACATTGTTGCTCTCAATGATCTTGCATGGTCCAACGATGGTTGCTCGAGAGGGCAGCTCTGAAAAGCACCAACAACTTATTGGATTTTTTATTTTAGGAAGCCCGTCGTCAACCTTTTCGACCCTCCCCATTTTGTAGGGGGCCATTGCTAAATCTGTTATGAAGACCCACTCTCTAAAGGTCTCCACTCCTATATCATCCCTAAAGATAACTAGCCCTTCCCCGATGAGGCCACCACCCCTCCCTATTTAAAGAAGATCACCATTCTTCCTCCTCAAAGATCACCACACTTCCCTCCTTAAAGATCACCATCCATCCCCGAAGAAGGTACCCACACCTACCACCTCTTTGAAGAAGGTACACACCCTCCCTACTCACCGAAAAAGGTACCGTCCGTACACTCCTGTCCCTCGAAGGTTCCCTTGCCTCATGCTTGGCCCGATTGGACATCGACATCCCATGAACGACAAAGTAGCTTTTTGGTCTCCTACCCCAGGGCACTTAGACTCTCCTCCTTCTGAGATTTTATATGCTCTTCCTGCTGACGTCGTGTCTATATTAGACGGAATTGTCAACAACTAACAATTCAGAATGCCAACATTCATCAAAGGGTTCAATAGTCAGTTGACGCCCTCAACGCTCAGATTGATTTAGTAGAGGACTGTCGACACCAGGATGTTGATGCATATGAATAGTTAGTGTGTTACATCAAATTAAAATGTTACATTTGATGTTTTCATTAAAATAATTTTGTTATTTAACTTTGATATTTGGTAGTATCCGCGGGTATCAAATTTCGTATGTACCATTTTCATTTCAATTCTTCTCCAAAAGCACAAGTAAGAAAACCCTAAAACCCTATTGGAGAAACTTTCTCTTCTGCCCCGCCCGTCTCTCTCTCTTCCCCTCAAACCTTCTCTCGCTCTATATAGACCTTTGTCCCTGTGCATTTCATCCATACTGACGTATTGTGTAAACCTTCACTCGCTCTAGACCACGTTTCTTGGTTTTTTGCTTGCTAGGAGTAGCAACCATGTCGTTGAGGCCTAGCGCGAGGACCGAGGTTCGCCGGAATCGCTACAAGGTGGCGGTCGATGCCGAAGAGGGACGGCGTAGGAGAGAAGACAACATGGTTGAGATCCGTAAGAATAAGAGAGAAGAGAGTTTGCAGAAGAAGAGACGCGAAGCACTCACGGGTAGTCAGTTTTCTGTGCCTGTTCAATCTGCTTCCGCCGCCGAAAAGAAGGTACATAAATCTTACCATATGCTCGTATCATATGCGACTGAGATTTCTCTCTATGGTAATTTCGTTGATATGCCGTGATGTGTCTGAATTTCTAGGTTTTCTGTTTATATAGGTTCTAGGATCGTACGTTGATCATTCTTATTTTGGGTGAGCCCTGGATTTTGTAATTCACGTATCGTTTTAAGTCAATTAACCATGACTGCATGACCTAGTTTCAGTCGTAGCTAAATAGGATCCCTACTTTCTAGCCTCCAATGAAGGAAATGCCGTTTAGAAGTTTCTGCTCAAAAGAGCAATCTTCATAAACGAAATATCGGGTGAATTTGTAAGCTTTCTAGAAAGAAGTTTTGTTCTTTGATGGACAAATCAAGACATATAAGTCATCGGTCATGCTTGATTTTTGGTTTATGCGGAAGCGTCAAAGTGTCCCAAGGGACCATGGGAACTGGGAAGTGATTTGAAATTGGGACTTTACATTTTGTGAGAAAACAAATGACCAATGGGTTATTCCTTGTTGAGTTGTGGTTATGGAAGAATTATTCTAATTGAAACTTTGATTGACTAGATATCTTAACACTAACATTTTTGGCTATCTGTTGTATTTCTAAACTGTATTACTATAGATCTCTTATGTGTTTTAAAAAGGATGACCTAGTTGGGTGTATTTGGCTTGTGAGTAGGTATGGGTTGGCTGCTTGTGCTTTTTTAGCATGTGATAATTACTCTCCATAATATACATTCTGTCATTTGAATATATGTTGCGTCATTTAGATGTTTACAAGCACATGTTATGAACTCTTGATATAAATGTTTCCTTTTACCGTGATTGTGATGATTGCAGTTGGAAAATCTACCTGCAATGGTTGCAGGAGTTTGGTCTGATGATAACAATATGCAGCTTGAGGCCACTACTCAGTTCCGTAAGCTGTTATCAATAGGTATGCTATGTTTCCTCTTTTTTTAATTTTTTAAAAAAATAGTTATATTGTTTTTATCTCAAATAACTGTTCTTACTTTTCGCTATCACTGTTGTTAACATGTCTAGTTTATGATATTTTCTCTAACCAGAACGCAGCCCTCCCATTGAGGAAGTTATTCAATCTGGTGTTGTTCCTCGTTTTGTTGAGTTTCTTGTGAGGGAGGATTTCCCGCAACTACAGGTGAGAAAATGTTATGTAATTTGGCCATTTTTTTACTTTATTTGATATGCGTACACAAAATTATTTGATGTCTGTTGCGTTTGTGTATGCATCTATGTATATATTTTTCCTATATGGTGTAGTTTGAGGCAGCTTGGGCGTTGACTAATATTGCTTCTGGGACATCTGAGCACACAAAAGTAGTGATAGATCATGGTGCTGTCCCGATATTTGTAAAACTTCTAGCATCTCCAAGTGATGATGTTCGAGAGCAGGTATGTTCTTCTAAAATGTGGTTTGGATTACTTTGGTATTCTGTGTAGTCTATTTAATTGATAATTAGTCTGTTAAGCATATACCTTTCTTGCGTTTTTATTCATTTTGGTAATTGGAAGGACCGTAATGTCACTTTCTTCTGCATGCATGTAGGCTGTATGGGCGCTAGGGAATGTTGCTGGTGATTCCCCTAAATGTCGTGACCTTGTACTTGGACAAGGTGCTTTGATTCCTTTGTTGGCTCAGTTAAATGAGCATGCCAAACTATCTATGTTGCGCAATGCTACGTGGACACTTTCCAATTTTTGTAGAGGCAAGCCGCAACCCTCTTTTGATCAGGTTGGTCTCTGAAAACTGGCGCTTGTAGTGAGCTACATTGTCTTTTATTGCTACAGACTTTATTTTTATGTATATCTCATCCACATGCTGATTAGCTGTATCTTTTCAGCAGCCAGTGTCAGAATAAACTTCATTGAAGGGCCATTCACTATTTTTAACCACTACGTCCTGCTATTTATGGCATTTTCTATTTGTTTTGACAGACCAGACCTGCACTTCCTGCTCTTCAGCAACTTATCCATTCGAATGATGAAGAAGTTCTGACCGATGCTTGTTGGGCACTCTCATATCTTTCAGATGGTACCAATGATAAAATCCAAGCTGTAATAGAAGCAAATGTATGTCCAAGACTGGTTGAGTTACTCAAGTGAGTATGGTAATCAACTTTTTATCTGGTTATGATATCTTTAAGCCTATTTAGTTTCTCATATTCTGCAATTTGGATTATTTGGCTGTTTCAGTCATCCTTCGCCTTCTGTCCTCATCCCTGCTCTTCGTACGGTTGGGAACATTGTTACTGGTGATGATATGCAAACTCAGGTACTGGTTTGGGACTACCGTTATAGTAGTAGGCTGTTAGGATTTTGTTCATTGAGACACACTTTTACCTGATTTATCATTCTATGTGTGGGTAATTTAGTGCTATTAGGAACTTCATACATGTAATACCTGCTTTCCTTCTCCTTTACTATCCTCATTGTCTGAGCACATTGTAAAGTTTTCTTTTACCACTAAAGGCTATTGTATTTCTCATCTCTTCAAGTTTGTGAACTCACATAGTAGGTTAACTTTTACTTTTTCAACAAGTTGATTAAACCAAGGGTTGGATAGTCTCTTTTCTCTAGCAAATGAGCTGGTTTTATAGAATCAGGATTATTGTGATGGTGAACAGCTTAAAAAGGAAAGTGGGACCACTATCTGAAGACAGAGGGATTGCATCTTTTGTTGGAGTTTGAATGATGAGTTGATGTTTGCTTGTTTGTTTTATCTGACAGAGACCTACATTTGAAAGACGACCAAAGGTTGGGAATTTCTAATAGAAATTGTTGCATTTGTAACTGCCTGTCCCTCTCGACCTGTGAATGAGCAGATAAGGGTGATTCAGGCTTATATCAACAGGGTATTAACCTGTAGTAGAACTAGACACCGGTTTTTTGGCTCTTGTATCCTCTTTGCCTGGCTCATTATCCATCAAATCAAATCAAATACTATAGGTCTAACAATGATGGAATATTGATTCAATGAATCGTTGATTGGAATTTATGAGAGAGGTGTAGTAAAAAAGTTATACTTAATTTGGATGATTGTTAATGTAGTTTATATGTACAAAAGTTGAAGCAGATCATAACACTTGCTATGTTGTGCACATAACATGCATATTTTAAGAACTTGTTTATTTATGTATTGCTATCAAGAAAAAACTTTTCAGTTGATGACTTGTAGTTATTTTTGTTCAATTCAAATTATTCTATATAAGTTCTCTTGATGCTGGCAGAAACTGATACTTTTCAATCTCTTAAGGAGCTTGAGACGGTAATAAACATTATATATTAGTTGACCAATTTCATTTGTCTTTTTATGTGTTTTAGTATATCATTAATCATCAAGCACTGCCCTGTCTTCTGAACCTGTTGAGCAATAATCACAAAAAGAGCATAAAGAAAGAAGCTTGCTGGACTATATCGAACATCACTGCTGGCAACAAGGAGCAGATTCAGGTTAGATCTCTGCACTGGGATTGTTGTCCAGCTCAACTGACTAGATTTAACTATTAACCTTGTTTTCAGTAAGCTGCATTCTTGACTCGTCTGTCTATTTGGTGATTCTACAGACCGTCATCGAAGCAAATATCATTGGCCCTCTTGTTCATTTGCTTCAGAATGCAGAATTTGACATCAAGAAGGAGGCTGCATGGGCTATCTCAAATGCTACTTCTGGTGGAAGCCATGATCAAATTAAGTAAGATGCCTGGACATGAATTTTTGCTTTTTTCCTTTTATTTTACTATTTCTGAATATTTATGATATTTTTTTATATAATAATTGCAGGTATCTAGTTAGTCAGGGATGTATCAAACCGTTGTGTGACCTACTTGTCTGTCCAGACCCTAGAATTGTGACTGTTTGTCTAGAGGGGCTTGAGAACATACTAAAGGTAGGTGAAGCTGAGAAGAATTTGGGGCGATCAGGAGATGTAAATCTCTATGCACAAATGATTGATGATGCCGAAGGCTTGGAGAAGATTGAGAACCTACAGAGTCATGATAACAATGAGATATACGAGAAAGCGGTGAAGCTTCTTGAGACATATTGGTTGGAGGAAGAGGATGATGCAATGCCACCTGGTGAAACCACTCAGCCTGGTTTCCATTTTGGAGGTGGTGATGTTTCTGTTCCCAATGGTGGATTCAACTTTAACTGATTGAAGGTATATGAGTACTTTTTGTTATTGCCTTTCACATATATATTATTTTACTTTGCCGTGTGAAGTCTCTAATTTGTTAGAAAACTTCCAAAATATGATATAAAGACCAAGACTAATCATTCATTTAAATCGAATTGATATAGGTTTTGTGGCTCAAATAATTAGTTGTACTAGGTTTTGATTAAGGTTGCCGTCTGGGTATGGAATTTGGTGTAATCAGTCGACAATTATTCAAATGAATTTACATTTTCAGGTCTTTCTTCTTGAAGTTAAGTGTCATTATGGCGGTGGAGTAATGTTGGCTACACGTCAGGCATCTGTCTGTTTTCACTCAAGTTCTGCTTGGTCCAATATTGTTGTGTGCTTGAAGTTTATGGACTGGTTCAGGTTTCTCACCAAACAATAGCAGTGAAATGTTGATGGATTATGTTAAAGTAATATGTTCATTTCCTTTTGGGGAGAGTTTTTGACATTTTAAGTTGGGATTTATAGAATTTCCCCTCTTTTGCATCTACCCATGTATTATCGTCTTTGGTTGGGAATTTCTAATTCCTTAGACGTACTTTTAATATGCCTACTCTTGGTGTATGTTCCATAAAAACTGGTTATTACTATTCGGTGAATGGCAATATGCTGTTGAGATTCTTGTTATGGAGACAAATTTTTGTGCAACTTCCTTTTCTTGGATTCATGCAACATGACTTGCATTTATAACCAAATGATATGAATGGTATTTGTTGCCTAGCGAGTGTGGGCATACACTTCATGGTGTGATCTTATGTTTTACTGCAACCATGAATTAGTTTTGGCAACTGAGGTGTAAAGTGTTGTGTGTTCTCAGTTTACTTGCCATTGATGTTTTGCAGGAATAGCGTCAATATCTTCAGTTTTGGAACTGGCCTACATGCATTAATGTTTAGGTAATCCATGAACTTATCACTTGTTTGCTAGTTGGGTTCCTTTTTCTTCTATGACGGTGGCTCCCCCTCCTTTTTTTGAATGTAAATTCGACTCCTAATTGGGAATATTGTGCTTTATAGAATTGTTTTGGATCACTTGGCTTTGAAGTGACATATGTGCCTAGTGTCTTTTTTAATTTTGATGCTTAATTTGAGCTTGAGTTTTTTTTTAAATATCTTGAGACTTGGGGGCCGTTTACTAAACGCTTACCGGGTAAATGTTTACCTATATCACTTATCTTACCGATTGAGCATGACAATGACTGAGGATCTTACCCGGTAAGAGGCATAACAAGGATCTCGAGTCTTATCCAGTAAGTGAGGTAATAAGCGCTTACAGGGTTTAAGACTTTTACAAATAATCCATTTTGATGGCTGAGCATGTTACATGATAAGGTAAGTGGGGGGTAATATATGTTGCTCGTAAGCGTTTGGTAAAATGACCTCTTAGATCTTAATATCTTTTAGAACATAGGTAGGTACCTCTCTAGTCTGCATAAGGGGCAGTTTGCCTAAATGCTTACCCGGTAAGCGTTTATCGTTATGAGTCAACACTATAATTTATTTTCTAGGTAAGATTGTAGTATATCAAAATGGTATCGTTTGCAACAATAAATAGGGTAAGCGCTTACCCGGGTAAAAGTCGTCACCCTCACTTACCGGGCAAGACTTTTTATCCTTATCATCGATTTGACCAGGTAAGATTCTTGGGTCTTGTCATGTTCGTCCAGTGAGGAAAATTCCCTGGTAAGCACCTAAGTTTACCGGGTAAGCGTGTAGTAAACGACCCTTAAGTTTACGGAGCTTATGCAAAAGGGTCTCTCGAATAAACTCTATAAGAGGAGTTTTATTTTTCTTTTCATTTTTAATCTAAGATGCAAATGGTGGTTTGTTTTTTGAAGTTGCAAAGATTGAATGCTGGAAACTCATCTGAAAATTTGAGGCATTGTCTAAATGCTAAATGTTGAACCATTCATGCCAAATTGGCTGAATGTTTTTATTTGTTCATTTTGCAAACCGTGGGTTTTCTTTTCTTTTTTTCTTATAAGGTCTCTTTTAGGTTCTCTAGAGTTGGTTAGAACAACAACTATATCATATTTTGAAGTCATTTGTGACACAAAAACAACCGACACTTGTGGCATGGTGAGCATACTCGATGGGTCATTTTTTTCATCATTTAGTTCATTGATAAATGAAAAATGAACCAAAGTGCATATACTTCAAAAAAAACACACACACACACAAAAGAGCCAAAATGTTATCGTATTGATAACAATTTAAACATCAAAATTAACCGTATTACAAAAAACCGCACGTGAAAGGGCGGCTGTTAAGATAACGCCAGCCACAAATTATATGCGTAGGAGATTCTTTTCTTACTCCTTTATGCTTAAACTTAAGTTTTGCGTTTTAAGACAAGAAATCAAAATATGGATCAAGCGTGGTGTTCTTTTGGCAACTACATCTTTCCACATCGAGAGCCACATTGAATCTTGAACGTGTTTCTTGAGAAATGGATGTCAAAAACAGAGTTTGATTGCTTGCTTGCCATGTTGATATCTCATTCCGATTGTTATCATTCAATCCATTGCTACATGGGTCTGAAGTCATCTGCAATTGCAGTTCATCTGTACAGAATAAGGTTTCTATAAGCAGCATGAGATACAAATACTTTTTAGCAAAATTATATAGTATCACAAGCTTTTGACAGCAAAACATTAAAACCCTAAAACATTCCACAATGTTCACAAGCCTACCTCACTCACTCTCGCTTGTCAATCCTGTCAACGTACCATATGCACCCCCTAAAGGACCCGTGGATAGCTCATTCAGGTGATTTGTGCTAATGCAAAAATGAATGACAACAATCTAATTACCAACCACTTGTGTTGATGAATTCTTTTTTATCATCTTTTACAACTAGAGTTCATAAATCAGTTTTAAGTTCCAATATTGCAAAAGCGTCATCATCATTGGATCTTCATCCATCATCACAGAGTTGAATTGTTTTTTTCTTGGAAGAGGGAGGAGAACAAACAATTTGTGAAGCAGAACATGAAACAGTCCCACACTAAAGATTTTATGTACCTTGGTGTGGAATACATAAACTAGCAGTTCTAAGGTCACCATGAAGCACTGGGGTTGCAATCACTGAGAGATCATCCATTGGTACCATCCCATCCAGATCCTTCTTCATTTGTTCCTTTAAAGCTTCCACCACAGGCTGCAAAAGTCATTTCAAACATCAATGCTACAAGTATCATAATAATAATTAGATTTATTTCAGCCTTCCAGTCCTTATCATGAAGGAATGGGGTAGTTATGCTTATAGAAGAAATGGCATTAAAAACAGTTTTAAGCAATGAACTTGGTATTGTCTATATACATAAGGTGACCATATAAGGTATCTGCATAACTACATCATGCATTCATAGCACAATATGATGAGGACTACAACTGCTTCATTAAAAGCAAATAATAGTAATAACAATAGTCGAACAAAGACTTAAGGTATGAAATACAAACCATCTGAAATTCAGCAACTTCATTCATCGAGAGATGATTTTCACCATCAAAGGTTGCACCCACAACCTTCAAAGTGGAATCGAACAAAATCCCGACCCCATCTGCAACACTGCTGTACATGTACAGCTTGTCATCTAAAACATAAGTTTTGGCGTGCTTGATGATCGCCTTCCATATGTTGTTATCGGGCCCACCAAGTAGCTATATCATCCAAATCAAATGCATGTCAAGGTCATAAAAATTCTACCACCACTGTTTATCAAAATATGGAAGTTATATATCTTACCGTGCATAGTGAGGACTCCTTAGTATTATACACTTGTAGAAAGTCTTTGACGGTATATATTCGATGTGATGCCAATCGCCTATGCCAAACCCCATCTTTTGCTATCTTTTCCAAACGCCATATATCATCACCCAAGTATGGAGGATGGTGTTTCTTGTATGCTGAATCAGGAAAGAAACTATTAGTGATGATATTCTTTTCTCAAAGAAACAAGGTAAGAGCATAAGCTGCTGAAACAAGTAATTCGGTTCTCGACTTGTTTTGTTAAGAATTCAGAAACGAAAAACTGTTTGAAATAAAATGTGTAAAGATGCATATAAAATAAAAAAGACCCAAACATAAGAAATAATTTTCTCCTGTCAAGTGGTTGGACAAATTTTACTTATTTGTTACTCCCTCCGTCCCAAAATCCGCATGGCATCTGACCCTACGTGCATAGTAGTAGAAATTGTTTGCTACCACAAAACTGTATTACATGTCCAAAATAAGTGTGGACCAAAATGATTTAAAAGTGTACAAGAGATTATTGAAATTGAAAACGCTTCCATAAATCGACATGTAGTCATTAATGCGAATCAAAAGGAGTATCACTATTTGAAATATGGTTTCATATCATTTATCGGTATCCCATTAGCTAGAACTGTACAAGTTCTATAGCATGTTGATATGGCAGTAGAAGGCACAAGGATAGTTGCATGACCAAGGAATTCCCAGTTCAATCAATGCTGCTAGCAAGGATGAAGTTTGAGAAATGCAGTAGAAAAAACTTATAAAGACAGTAAAAGAGACGGATAAAACATGTTTGGGGAGGGGGGAGGGAGGGCTTACACTCTCCTCGCTGATCTTTTACTATGAACGCTTCGCTTCTTGCTTCTCTAATTCTCACTCCGGCGGATGCATTTTGGGCTTTTGCCCCTAACCTAAACTTCCTACTCCTCCTCCAGCTTGAATTATCAGTAAAAACTACATCCCCTAGTTCCGCAACACCTTCTTTCAGAGTCAGTACCAGATCCCCTGTCAGTAATGGCCTTTTGCCGTCTCTTGCATTAATAACTTTGGCATCAAAATCAGCCTGGGACCAATCTTCATGATCATCAGCAGAGAAATCACCATCGAGAGGAACGATCACTACCTTCAGTGAAGAGAAGGGTCCAGATGATACAATCTTGTTAAAGTTAGCATCATATAAAACTAGTTTGATAGCACTGTTGTCCTCAGATTCTATCCTGCTGCCAGTGAAAAATGTAGGATGCAGCCTAGTCTGAAAACAAAGCTGCAAGGATGTTGGATTACGCGGTTCAAGTGCATCAGAAGGAGATCTATAAAAAAACCTGCAGAACGATTAGAGATCCAAATAAATGAGTATGCACTGAACTATTGATGGTGAACTTTTTACGCAAGTAGCGATATAAACCTGACATGCATCCATTCATGTACTGATGTTCAACCAACCCAGTTCATAGTTGGGTGATGGTGTATGTAAAACTTAGTAGAAACATCTAAAGAAGGCAAGCTGATTTGGAGTGCCCATTCAGCTCTAAAACTACATAGATTTTATTATAAGAGAAGATACGAACACAGAGGTACACCTCCATAAAAGACATACAAATGGTCAATTACTACCTGATACTAAGTTATACTTGAATCCAACATGATATAGAGAAGCCACTACCCAAGTAGATGGTATCCACCATATATACAACACACACACATATGCTAGAAATTATTCAGTTGGCAAAGAAACTAAAATTGGTAGAACTCGTTATGCTCAAGTATGCACCAAAATCTTATAGAAGGATAAACAATATGTGCAGATGGCAAACTTATTCTCCAATGAAAATGAGATGGAGATGCAACCTTGGTGACGTAGATGAGAAGTTTTGAAATGCTCGCTGCACCTCATCTTGCACCTATCAAAAGAATATGTAAATCTTTACTTGAAAAGAAAAGGGTCTTATGATAAGTAAATGGCGTGCCAACAAGATTCAACCAGTGATATGAGGTCAAACATATCATATATCACAAAAGAAATCAAAAGGTAACCGCAGGCACAATTCAACAAATTCTGAACTGTCTATCAGTAAGTTTGGGAAAAACTTGGCTTGCTGACATAAGAGGATATGTCAACCGGAAGAAAAAGAACGAAAATTACTGATAACATTGTCACCTAAATAAAGCCAAGAAGACATGAAAGTACCGTTCTTCGAATTAATGGTTCCAACGTGGCCCCGAATTCTTCAGATGAAAACCGAAGCATCACATTCCTGGCAACACTGCAAGGGAAACGAATACCACATCAAGAAAATTCACAAGTAATCAGAACTTCCACTCTAATTGCTTTCCGTTCTGCCCAGTAAAATGTTAAATCACTCACTTTGAAGAGCCACTTCCCTCTGATTCCTGATTAGGAATTCCAGAACCACCCCCTTCCACCTCACTGATTGGTCGCTTCGATACCATCAAACAACAGTAAGTAAAAACTAATTTGGGAATAAAAAAGCGGTAACTATAAACTGCCCAACAGCATTCTTATATAGAGAGAAGATGATTGGAAGGTTATTTGAAACTTCCAAGCAAATCAAAGGTTTATATGTGTACCTGAAATGTGGGGGTGTGGGTCTGTCATATAATCAAACATGTGGGATGCACCACCATATCTTTTTCTCGTTTCTCTATCAAAACAAAATCTATGTCTCTGCACACATGGCTTGTAAACAAGATTAATGAAATCTATAATACCGTTACATTAAATACACACTCAAAGCTTATATATACACCCTTCTATTCCAAAATATTCATCTTCATAGATTTTAGTTCATTTGGAATTTTAAAGACTACTTATTGACTTATTTCGGTGTGACACCGGGTAATAAGCACTTTTGAGTGTTTGGACGAACAGCTTATACCGGTGCCAAATCAAGTTTTTAAAGAAGTTAAACCATTCTAACTTATAATAAGTTGATAAGGACTTTTGTTGTAATTCAAATATGCAATCCCAAACACCGTTAGATTAGCTAAATCATTAACATGATATTATTACAGAATCATACAAACACCGAMAAGTCATATTTCATCACCATATTGTACAAAATAACAACAAATCCACAGCAATCATTAAAGTTACTGTCATTCATTTATACACAAAATTCGTATGATGCATGGGAATTCAATTCCTTGACTGAATTCGGTAATAAAGCGTTTGCATATGATTAGTGTAATTTTAATTAACGGCCGGCCCCAGTAGCAAGCTACAGACGAGTAAATAAACGCGTACCTGCTCCATGGATGGATGAAGATTCGAGTGTTAGGGTTTTACGAAGAAGGTTGTTGGAAATTGCAGAGAGACGCGTAGGGGGCGGAGGTGTTTGAATTTCAAATATTATTATCACCTGCAAAAGTCGTTGTCTTCAGTTTTCACGAACCATACAAACCTAGCATACATTACACATCTCCCAGAAACAATTTCGGACACCCAAGATGAATTTTATTTTATTGGTGGTAAAACATTCGATAAAAACACCTAAAAACTATCTTTTTTATATATCAATTAGGGGGTGTTTGGATAAGCTTATTTAAGTGACTTATTGACTTATTTCAGTTTGGTACCGGAGATAAGTTAAAACGGAGTGTTTGGGTAAAAAAAAAAAAAGTGCTTATACCGGTACCAAACCGGTAATAAGTTGTTTTTGATAAGTTAATCCATACTGACTTATGAAAATTGACTTATTACCATTTTACCATTTTAACCCTGTCTAATAAAAACACCCCCAAATCGATCGTCTTCTCCAAATCGATCAGATCCTCTTCTCATCGATCTCTTCTCCAACAAATCACGTCTTCTCCAACAATCGATCATCTCCAGGTTACAAGTTTCTCCAAAATCGATCTCTTCTCATCGATCTTCTCCAGGTACGTCTTCTCCAAATCGATCTCTTATTGATCTGTTCTCCGATCATCATCTCCTCTTCTCCAATCGATACCCTAAATCGATAACCCTATACGATGAACAAATCGATACTAACCCTAGAGATCGATAACTTACATCTGTATCACTAACCCTAGAGATCGATAACCTACAGGTGCATCTCTTGCTCCTCACCATACAATCGCTCTCCCGCCTGCATACATTCTCCGACATCGGTTATCTGCGACGTGACGTAACGCCATAAAATTCACCATCTTCAGGTAATTTGACTTTCTCCGGCATAACTGCAATATGCTGTTGTTTATCTCCTGTTCACAAAAGAAGAGTTTCTCAGCAATTTCATGTCTACCTGTAAAAAATGAGCATAAGAATATGAAGCAGAATGGTCTGATGCTTATGGCTGTATTACCTCCATCTCATTTGAATAAGTATTATTAGCAATAAATTATTGGAAGAGGAATAACCTCAAGCCTTATATAAAAAGGAATGAGTATTCAGTGTTGCAGTCCTTCATATTCAGTGTTGCATGGTAATAAGGAAACCGTACAAAGGTTATCTTGCCCCATACAAAGGAACAGATATTCGTTATCACATACCTGATTTCCGTCGTGGACAAACTGCAGCAATACGTGCTCCCAAAGGAGCAAAAGAGACATTTAATTATTATCACTCATCACTGAGGAATGTTATTGAACGAACTTTTGGAGTATGGAAAGCTAGGTGGCAAATCCTAAAAGATATGCATGTCAATTACACCTATGAGACACAAGTAAATATTGTGCTAGCGTCGATGGCAATTCACAATTATATTAGAATGAATGGAAGTTTTGATGAAGCATTTGACATGGCGCAACAAGAATCATACAACCCTCGTATTGATGTTGATGATGAAGGATGTGGTAGCAACAATGAACCACATGAAAACACAAGTTCTCGTCGTATGAGTGACGATCTATATATGAGTGTTGTTAGATATATGATTGCAAGAGATCTAATAGGTAGATCTAGATGATTATTTATCATAAATGATGATCTATTTTTTTGTTATTGATATTTTGGTTATAAAAGATTGACATTTTTTGTTATTGATATTTTGGTTATAAATCTATTATTTCATCATAAATTAGTAATCTTATTGATATAAATTATTAATCTTATTGATATAAATTTTTGTTATAGATATTATAAATGATGAAAAATAAATTTTTATATGTTAAAAAATYAAATAAGTTAATAAGCAAACCCAAACACTCCTATAAGTCAATAATATAGAAGCCTGTCCTTTTTGGTCATTTTACATATATAAGCAAAATTTGCCAAACACTAAAAAACAACTTATCAGCTTATTGCAGTTTGGTACCG